GGCAGGTGACCACGGCCAGCGTGATGCCCTTGGAGCAGGCCTCCGCGTCCATGTAGCAGCGGTTGTAGTAGGTGAGGCCGTCCGAGGCGCAGGTGAAGCTGGGCTCCTTCTCGCAGCGGTCTCTGCACTTGCACACGGGCTGGCCGTCCCAGATGTCGCACTCGGAGCCCTGCTGCAGGCACATGAAGTGGTCGCAGGTGGCCTCCTTGGGCATGCCCACCGGGCCCTTCTTCCCCTTCACGTCCATGTAGCGGGCCGCCACGCAGCTCTTGGTCCCACACACGTTGGGGCAGCACTTCTCGTAGGTCTCACATTCCTGGAGAGAGCCAGAGCGAGAGGCCTGAGCGAGGGAGGGAGGGAGGGCAGGTTTCCCTGCCCGGCCCCACAGTTTCTGTAGAGAGAACTAATATGTGCTCGTCTTTCTTATTTTTAAAATATATTTTACTGATTTTTACAGAGGGGAAGGGAGAGGGATAGAGAGTTAGCAACATTGATGAGAGAGAAACATTGATCAGCTGCCTCCTGCACACCCCCTACTGGGGTTTGAGCCCACAACCAAGGTACATGCCCTTGACTGGAATCGAACCCGGGACCCTTCAGTCCATGGGCTGATGCTTTATCCACTGAGCCAAACCGGTTAGGGCTCTTATTTTTAAAAAATAGGTTTTTATTGATTTTTCTTAGAGAGAGAAAGGAGAGGGAAAGAGACAGAAACATCAGTGGCTGCCTCCTGTACTACTGGGGATCACACTCAAAACCCAGGCATGTGCCCTGACTGGGAATAGAACCGGGGGCCTCTCTGTTCACAGGACAGCACTTAACGAACAGAGCCACACCAGCCGGGCAATGTGTGCCCATCCATCCTGAGCAAAATGTTCTGGTGATCACAGCTAATGTGCACAGAGCATCCGCTATGCACTTGCCAGGACAGGCATGTCTGCGTTTGTCAACTTAGTCAATGCTCATCACAAGCCTATGGGTGGGTGTACCATTCTCCCCACTTCACAGGCGATGATCACTGAGGCACAGAGAGAGCAGGTGACTTGCCCAAGGCCACACAGCTAGTCCTGTGGGAAGAGCCCAGCCACAGCCCTCTTCCTGCAGAGCCTCGGGGCGGCAATGCCGGCCTCAGGGCGGCAATGCCAAGTGCACAGGGCAGTGCGGGGAAAGGGCTCCGGGCTCCCCGGGGGTGGAATTCTAAAGTGAGGTTTTACCTTCTACATCACATGCATCATCTAGTGACCACGGATGAGGTCTAGGTGGGCACAAATGCCTTTGTCTTTTTTTCCCTTCGGGGTAAGCCTGCCCTGGCCGCAGGGGAGAGGTCACACCAAACGCCGAGAAGGAAAAGGGGGACCGAGGTTCGAGGCTGACTGCACGCACCTCGGAAGCAGCGGCTCCGATGAGAGGCCCCATCCGCCCGAAGCCGAGAGGAAGGGCTAGCGGGACAGGCCCAGGACGCCAGGTCGGCCACCACTGGCTGTGCCAGACCCCGGCGCCCACTCCCAACACAGGGACATTTCATGGGGAAATAACAAGGAGGCCGCCAGGGGACTTACACGACTGTAATTCCCTCCGCGTCTCTGTGGAGCCACCTTAGGCATTCATTCCTGGTTTAATTCCTAGAAATTAGCAGCGAGCTCAGGGCCGACACAAACAGAAAATGTCACGTGGTGTTTTCGACAATAACACCTCGTACCCACTGGGCGGTGGGCACCGCGCCCAAGCCTCTGCCCTGGTAGTAGCTCTGTGAATTGCTCCCCACGAGGGCTGGCCTGTCACGGTTCCAACGTTCTTTCAGCCTCTGACATTCCGCATCAGCTAAGAGGGGGACGGCCCCCCGCCCGGAGCCCGCCCGCCCGGCTTGTTTACAATTTTCCCCTCTCGGCTCAGAATGGGGACTTTGTTTTGCAGCCCTTGCTTGGCATAGGCTTCCAGGCCGTGCCGGGGGAGGCCTGGGGACAGGGCTGGGCAGACCTCAGAGCTGGGATCTGGGGGAGAAAGGCCTGGTGGGGGATTGAGCACAGAGAACCGGCCCCTCAGCCAGAGCGTCATTCCATTCCCTAAGGGACGCAGATCCCTGACAGGGGGGGTCCCCAGGCACCTCGGGGAGGGTGTTTTGGGCACGAGGAACCTGGAGGGGATCCTTAAGGGCCCAGAATGGACCCATAGGCCGCCTGAGTCTCCAGCCCACACAGGTGTCTTCTTCCCCAGGCACACGAAGTCGGCCAGTCTCCCTGTCCCCAAGCCCCACCCCGTGGATCAGGCCAGTCTGTGCCCGTGAAACAGGCTTCCCTGCAAATGGGGCCAACGACAACAGGGTGGCCCCACCGAGATGGGACCGCTCTGGCCCCCCTACCCTCCTGGTCCCCCTTTCCTTCTGCACCACCACTGCTCGGGCAGCATCCACCGGAGAAGCCTGAGAACTGTCCCCCCGGCGGGCTGCGAGGCCAAGGCCCCTCTCTCCAGGGGGTCCTGTGCTCCCCCGGAGGCGACAAGAGGGAGCACCAGGGTCTCTCATGTTCCCTGAGCCCCAGGAGCTGGCCAGGCCGACAGGACGAGCCTTTGCCCAGGCAGGTGCCAGGTCCCAGCAGGCCCTTGACTGCCCGGGGAAGTGGCAGGAGTGACCCTTGGACTCAGAAGCTGGGAGAGAATTGCCCTCGGACCAGGCCTGCCCTGCGCGCTGCAGGGTGCTCTGATGAGGGCAGAAGGGGGGACCCAGAAATCTGGCGAACGAAACTGAGTCCACTTCCTCCCCAGAGAGTCCGCTCAGGGCTGTGCCCGTCCACCGCCTTGTCAGCCTGTCTGCTCTCAGCGCCGGGGTCCAAGCCCCTGGGAGGTGGTCTGGAGGCCGGATGAAGCCTCAGCTTTGTTGCCAGACAGACGTGGGTCCCAAGCCCATCCCTGCTCACTGCACCGTCTGAGTGTCTGTCCTCACCTGTCCACGGGCTGCTGACACCTGCGCCTGGCATAGCCCTGGCTCAGAGCCGCCCTCAGCCAACACGAGACCAGGAATCCAGGGCTCTCAGTCCCTGATGAACTTGAACATCACAATCACCTCTTCTGCGCCTCAGAGTCAGACAGACACACGCCCTGTTTATCTCCCTGGGGCCTGCAGGGCACCCCTGAGTGGTCCCTACCCATGGCTCCCACCCTCCCTCACTGACACACCTGCGTGGTCCACCTCACGCTTCCGGAGTCCCACTCACCTGGTCCGTCTCACACTCCCGCTTGCAGGTGCTCTGGGCATCCACCCAGAGGTTGGGGTTCATGTCGTTGGGGCAGATGCCAGCGTGGGAATAGCGGATGGGCGGCAGTGCCAGGCCTCTCGGGGGCACCCCGAGCAGCAGCAGCAGCACCCTTCTCCCTCTCGGGGCTGCAGACACCTGCCCTCACCCCCACCCCCAGCAGGCGTCCTTGCTGCTGGTCAGGCTGCGGCTGCCCAGGCCGCCTCCAGCGAGTCAGTGGAGCCCGCTGAGTTGTGCGGCTTCAGAGGAAAGAAAGGTCTTTGCAAGGAACCCCCCTCTCCTGAGTGAGCGGGGAGGGGAGCCCCAGCCGGGGCCCGGCCGGGGTTTATATCCTGGGCGCCCCCCGAGTGGGAGCGAGCTAACCTGATGCCTGTCACAGGCCGGCTGCGGCTCCTCTGTCCCGGCTGACCACAGACTTTTGCAGAAGGAAAGAAAGCTGGAAGCAGTTTAGGCGGCGTATCTGGCACGGTGGGACACCTGCTTGTTTTTGACTCCAGGAGGCCTTTAACCCCTTCAGGGGCCAGAAATGGCATGTGCTTTGGGGGAGCTGGCTCCGGGACACGCACGCTCACTGTGCAGGAGCGGCGTGTTTCCCTCTCCCCCACCTCCCCGGCCGGCCCCCTCCTCCCCGGGGCCACCTCTGCAGAACACACAATCGCTTGTTACAAGGAGGGACCTGCCGCCGCAGGGTTAGCATCGCCCGACCCGATAGTACATTTGAGAGCAAATGACGTGGAAAAACAACAAGTTCACGGCCGTTCGAGGGCGGGCCTGAGCAGCGGCGTGCGGTGTAAGCAGACTCCCACCCCAGCACCGGGTCCCTTTGGGGGTTGGGGGGTGGGGGTGGGGGGTGTGCAGAG